AAAGTCCCGCTGATTGCTCCTGTCACTGCTTCCAAAACATCTAGGGTATCTCATTCTTCTTGTATAGTTGTCACTGTTTTCATAAGAAAGAAATCTGCCGAGTTTCTATTTTCCACCTAATTAGGTTCACTCCTGGAATACCATTTCAGTATGGTTTGTAAATGCTCCCTACCATCACTGGTATTTTCTCTTCATAACTCTTCCATCCAACTTCTTCTGCTTTGCAAGTGTATTAACACTATGGCTGTCAACAACATCAGTTCTATAAGTCTGTTACGCACACACACACACACACACGCACACATCAATCATACTTATAACCCTGTGTATTTTAAAGTAATTTCTCTCTGGTATTTGTAAAACCACCAAGCAATGCATATTCAATTGGACCATGATCAATCAGTAAATCAGGACCTCCCCCCACACCATCATTTGGCAGAATAGTTACCGTATAGAGTAAGACTACAGACATAGTATTTAAAACTGAACAACTAACGGATGCCGAACTTGGCATCAATCACTCTTCTTAGAAAAGTGAATATGGGCCGGTGATACAAGCTGAAGGTCAGAATGTTGGTAACACACACCTGTGTGTTCATCCATGGGAAGATGTGCACATGGATTTTCTTCTCTGAAAACCTGCTCTAAGGGGATTCCCAAAGATGAATGAGGAAGGAAGAAATTGCACTACAGCATTCTGGTTATCTCAGATTTGTTAATGGGTGGCTATGTGCTTTTTTAGGATTCTTAATATACATAGTATAACAGAAGGAACACCATACATGGAATTATAAGGCTTCAGTGTATATCTAACAGTTAATGCCTGGGCTCTTATAATCTCTATGTGACTCAGTTTCCTCATCTATGAAATGGGCACTCTTTAGAATGACCATAAAATGTACAAATAACTTCTGAGAATCTACAAGTCCTAGAACGCTGAATTATTAAGATTTTATTTGAAAGCCTATAGTTGTGTATTAATACACAATAAGGATTAGTTCTGACAATTGTATAAAATATGAAAATTCAATTACAGCTAACTCGATAATGTTAATTTGGTTATTACCTCGCTCAAGGAGTATCACTTTTTATTTTTCTTATGTTAATAAAGTGCTCTTACCTGAAAGAAGGAAAAATTCACCTTAAAGGAATGTCTGCCTTTTGGTATTACAATCTTAAGATGAAAATACTCCTTGGTGGGTCCCCCCTGCTGCAATGGTTTGCATAGGTGGCCACTGAAGTTTAATCACTAAACAGAGCTTGAATGACTGTGATCACCTAATGGACATGGCCATCAGATGGAAGGAACTTGGGCTGAGTGGCAGAGCGGCACAGTACCAAATGGGCCCATTGCATTACAAGGCGCCACGTGAAGTCAAGCTGTTCATGGAGACATGCAAGACCTATGCCTCCTAAGTAAAGAGTGTGCACACTCAGAGCAGTCAACAGTTCAATTCTTTCACTTAGAGCAGCGGTTCTCAACCTGTGGGTCACGACCCCTTTGGGGGTCGAACGACCCTTTCACAGGGGTCGCCTAAGACCATCGGAAAACACATATATAATTACATATTGTTTTTGTGATTAATCACTATGCTTTAATTATGTTCAATTTGTAACAATGAAAGTGGGGGTCACCACAACATGAGGAATTGTATTAAAGGGTCGCGGCATTAGGAAGGTTGAGAACCACTGACTTAGAGACTATGGAGCACGCACTTGGACTCACCCTGCTCTGGGCCCTGGGGCGAGAGCAGGCACAGACAGACCCAACTTCCTGCCCTCATAGAGTCCACTGCATCCCTCTACTAGTCAACCTTCCAACTGAAGAGCAACACAGCAGGAAGGGAAAAAGTGACTATGCTGTCAGGGACAGGGGGCGCCACTGTGCAGCCCTTAAGAGGATGCAATGCTGGCAGGCTCTGAGCCCCACAACATGAGGACCCAGGGCTTCGCCTGCTCCTATCACCAACATGGCAGTGGCCATGCCAATGGCACAGACCTTCCTCATACCCACTTACTGTCAGATTGCAATGAATTTCACTTCACTCATTTTTAAAATAACTTTAACAGACAATTAAGCTTTACTTCTAAATAATGAAAGCTGCTTTTAAAAAAAGCTTTTTATTTTAGCCAATTAACTCATTATTTCTTAAAAACTAAGCAGTATAAATGTTATATAACCTACTTTATATTGAATATTTAATTGATAAAACAGTTTGAGGGCTTTGCTTCAATTCATCCACACAGTATTTTGTCCTTGTCTCATGAGAACTTCCAAGCGCTGCCTGATTTTACCTACAACTGTATCCAGGAATCCCTAAAACCCTTAAGTGGGTGAGTTTTGTTGGCTTGAAGCTAAGTGACAGCTGAAATATTTAACATTGTCTTTTATTTTATTGGATGATGTCCATAATTTGCAAAATTGCTAGCCTGATTATTTTTGTAAGTGCAATAGCCACCATCTGGTCAACTAATGCCCATCTAAACTGGGAATTGGTTCAGGCACTTACTTTGATTCTTGTTAGAACCCTAATAGTTTCTTTATGTGCCTGGTATCTGCTGCTTTCAAATGGACATTTTTAGCACATGAAGTTACTGACAGGTCGCTCTGATGCACTCAGGTGAGCTCATAAAGAAAGCATGAACCATTATCAGAGGTACAGTATATGAATTTCCCGTATGTTCATGAAAGTTTTCTACATAAGGCTGCCCGTCAGCTTATGAAGGGCCTGGCACACAACTGTCCAGGCTGCATACTACACAATCTTGGAGATGTCATCATCGCCATGGTGGCCTATGTGAGTGGCCACGGTGCCTCTGAGCATTCAGATGTGTGGGTATGAGCCCACGCTGCTACAGAAAGTAATGCCCAAATAACACAGACAAGTGTTTCATGCAGGTCCTCCAAACCATGCAAGTACCAGAGAAACAGCAGCTGGTTCAAACAGCTTCCATAAAAGGGTCCGTGCACATTCACACATCAAACCAAATACAAAGGAATCAGGAAACGTGATATAAATTTCTCAGAGAGGCAGTACAGCACAGCAGTTAAGAGAACGGCATTCTAGAGCCGGTCTCATTGGGTTCAAATCCTATTCAAATCCTAGTGTGATTCTGGACAAGCTATTTCATTTCTCTATGCCTCAGTTTCTTCATCTATAAACTGGGGATAACAGCAGAACCTAACCCAGAGCTGTACTGAGGATGAAATGAGGTCATGTAGTTAGAACAGTGCCTGCAACAGTAAACACCATGGAAGTGTTCGGGTTTGGAATTAGTGTTTGGGGTAAGAAAATCAAAGAGATTAAATAACTCCTCCTCGGTTTAAGAATTAGCCAGTGATTCATTTCAGAATGAAAATGAAAATTCTTGACTTACAAGGAAGTTTTCATTAGGCCATACTGCTTTGCACGGCAACTTTCTGACAAAAGTAAAACCCACGACTTGTGGTAATACTCCTAAAAAGCAAACACCCCAGCATCTGAGTGCTTTGACTACTGACACAGGTCGTCCCGAACGGGCCACCTGGCTTGATGCACGTGGCACTCGGAACCCACGGGCTGCCAGTACCTGGGCTGACATTTACTAGCTGCCTGTCCTCCTGGGGGAGGCACACACCCCGTGGACAAACAACTCTAGTTGACATAACCGGCCGTCAATAAGACTTCAAAATTCTAGGAGGGAATCAATGTCGATGTCTCTTGGGTCTCGCCCTGGTGAGGTGTCTACTGCTTTTCTTCATGTTCTCTAAATATCAGCCAACCCCTGGTGCATTACACGTGCACCTTGGAAAATCATCTCATTCATTTCAGCACAAACAGCGCCGGCTCCTGGTGCCCGAGGGAGAAGTACATGTGATGAAGATGAACATGTCGTGCAAAGTCTCCGGGGCTGAAAGGAACAAGGCCTGTTTCCGCAATGTGAAGTGGGACAGCTAGAAGTCAGAAACAGTCCTGGCATGTTCGCGAGCGATGCTTTTTATCTATTTCAATTCTCATACAAGGATCCAGGGAGGGGAGATTTGATAGTTGGTTTTGACAAAGATTCTAGCTTTCAGATAGTGGCAAACAAAATACGCACAAGAAACAAGTCCTCTGTTGGCACCTTTGTCTTATGTCTGAGAAAAGCATGCACGCAGCCCTGCCCCAGCAAACCCTGGCACACAGGGCACACTTTATCCAGCTGAACCAAAACAGTCCAGAGGAGCCCTTCCAGGTTCTTCAGGGGCAGTGTCAGCATTGCCTAACTAGTTCCCCTGCCTCGAGATGTGAGGTGGGGCGATCCTATAGGGAAAAATTAAAATTTGTATTGCAAAAATTCCAGGTAAACTAGAAATCTGAATAAACTAGGAATATACTGTGCAAAACAATCTGTATAAAAAGCAGCCAAAAATCCAATGGGTCACACAATGTCATCTCTGAATAACATTAACATTTTACCCACGATCCTCATTACTATTAAATTAAACCAGAAAAATCAGGAAAAAGCACCCAAACCTTGTTCCTCAACAGCTTAATGAAAATGCATGTGTTCTATTTTTAAATCAATTAACATCTGTGATTTTAAAATGTCTTCATCATAAATGCAATTAGTGTAACATCCTGGACCAACGATAGAAAATGGTGTCTAAAAAGAAAAAGTAACATTATTTTTGGTCCAGTGTTACTTGTTTTAATGTACTGGCTTGATCATAGTAGTCAAACCAAACATTGTATGGCTTATGGAACAGAAAAATCAGAAGTTATTTCTCTTCGTGGTAAACAAGAGGAAACTACAGTTTGGAGAGTTTATGCAGCTTACCTGAAGCCAAATCTGACTTCGTACTGAAGCTAGGCCCCGGCTTATTTCACACAGAAAAAGACCTGGGTACTAGAAAACAAGTTCTATTCCTCATGCTGCTTCCTGACTTAAAGCCAAAATTCACTCCAGGATGACAGAGTCCTAGAGCTGAAAGTGGGAGAGTGGTGATACACACACTCCTCAGGGAACTCCTCACTTACCAGATGGTTCACGCCAGGAGTGTTGTTGACCCGAAGTTCTTCCTTCACCAATCGCTACAGCACAAAACCAATGCCACATGTTAGTGACAGTTGGTGATCACTATGGTGGGTGAATTTCACCTTCCAAGGTTATGCGCTCACTTTCCCCACCTGGCAACAAGACCCCTCAGCTTCAGATACACCAGCTGTGATTCCCTCTGGCTGTGTCTTCCCCCAAATATGCAGAAGCTATAGAATAACAACAAATCAAGATGAAAGAATATCTTCTAAAGTGTTGACTGAAGTACCACAACCAATTATGTGATGGAGCCCACCACAAATACAGTTAAGTGACATACATAATCATAGTATACATACAGTATATACATAAAAATATATAATTATGATAGGATGGCTTAGGTTTTGGTAAAAGGGTAAATTAGAAGAGTGGTAAACATCATCACGCTTTAGCTTAAAAGGTGGGCCTACTTCTTGCCAGAATGAACCTTCCCACTTAATGTTTATTCACATGGTTAAGTTACAGCGATGTGCCCTAGCAATTAAGATTTTCCCATTTCTCTCTCTCTCTCCCCATTATTCCTTTCCTCCCTCCCTCCCTAAAGTTAATGAACATGTATCCTCAGGTGAGGATAAAAAAGCAAAGTATAAACAAAGTGGTCCTGACAAAGGAAAAGACCATCCGGGAGCTCCAAGGTCTCTACGTAAGTGACCGTCAGTGCTCTTTGTGCTCACTATTTCAGGTGTGGTCAAGTGAAACGCTCAGAGAAAAGCAAACTGCTTTTGCTTTGCTTTGCTCTGTTCGATAAATATAGATTGTCACGGAACACAGCAGAATTCGCTTTTTTGGAGAGAACAATTCATGCCCGAATCGAAAGGTAAATGTTTTGTAGGGAAAAAGTACAGGGATCACCCAAAGAGAGCTGAGGCGGGTACAGTGAGTCCAAGAAGAGGTGACCTTCAGGCCAGGAGGCTGACTTCCCTCTTGGTGACTCAGTCCACTAGCAGAGCAGGCACTGAACTCTGAAATTCCTCCTGCATGTCCCACTGTCCTACGGACCGGACAGATTCCTAACACAGCCTTTTACAGTGACAACTTATGAAATTACTATGACCATGTCGATTCAATGTGATCCCATGTGAATGAGACTCTATAGCAGGGGTGGGCAAACTTTTTGACTCGAGGGCCACAATGGGTTCTTAAACTGGACCGGAGGGCAGGAACAAAAGCATGGATGGAGTGTTTGTGTGAACTAATATAAATTCAAAGTAAACATCATTACATAAAAGGGTACGGTCTTTTTTTCTCTTTTTTCTTAGTTTTATTCATTTCAAACGGGCCAGATCCAGCCCACGGGCCATAGTTTGCCCACGGCTGCTCTATAGGGATGTCTAGCAGGTGGAAGGGGACAAAGAGAAAATGGAGCTGGTGACAAAGGCCCTGCTCCCTGGAACGTTGTCTGTGCTTCTTCAGGGTTGCTGGTTCCCCTCTGTCAACCAGCAACGAACACATCTCATTCACTCTGAGGGAAACGAGTTCACTCTTCCAGCCCAGTTAATGGTGACCTAAATGCTCTGCATTTCTAGCATGGCCCACACAGGAGGCTCTCCCAGGAAGCCGGTCCCCCCACATTCTCAGAGTGAGGATGACTTAGGGCCAGTGGGCGGGGGCCTGGGACTGCCAGCAGAGCCAGGTTAACTGTCACTTAATCCCTGGCACCGCAGGGCACAGGGCAGAATGCCCTCCACAGGACATGGGGGGAACGCCCTTTCCTAAATCCAGGCCTAGGCAGGAGCCTGGCCTTTTCAGAAGGTGCTGAGAATGCCCAGGGCACATCTGGCACGTGAACTATTAAATGAGCAAATACAAACACGTGGCCGCTTAGGAAACCGAATGCCAGTCTGCTCCTACAGGTCTCAGATGAAGCACATCTGTCCCTTGCTGGGGTGGGTACGGCAGGCTGATCGCTTTTAATGTGACTGAAGGTGCTAGCTACTTTCCTTAGATATTTTCATCACACAAAGAATGTCTATTAATGTATACTAAGAATAGCAATAGAAAAGATATCTCTGCTACATTCTTATAAATATATGAAATGAAGGTAACTGTAAAATCATTTCAATTTTCTCCTGTCAAATCAAGGAGTTAAACTCAAATCTGCTACATCTCTATCTTAGACACTCCATGTTTCTCATATACAAAAGACGCCACAGTTCTGAGCAAGGACAACAGTCATCAACAATGCTCCCTAGGGTGGGGATGGGGGGGGGGGGAAGGGAGTCATAGCAGCTTTGCCATCTGATCCAGGGTGACTAACACCTGAGATGTAAAATTTCAGTGAAGAGAGGCTATAGTACATTTATATGCCATTAGCCGTCATTCAGAGAGGCAAAGATGGCACGCTTTCCAATAGGTACATTTAGCCTCCTTTTGAAGATGAAGAAACAAAAATTGGGAGAGTTACTAGGTCAGAACAATCTAGAATTCACTTGGTCCCATTCACCCAGCATTTTAGATCCAGACAGTCCCTGCTTGTGTCCCACTGGGTGATGCCTATCTGTTCAGGTGACAGAGACCAAAGACAGAGCAAGGCCTCAGAGATGAAATGCTACCTGCAGTAGGTGGAGAGACAGAAGGGAAAACAAATAAGAGGATGAGGCCTGCCTGGCTGCCTGAACAATGAGAGAGAGAAAAGAAATGTCTGTTTTCCAATTCTGATCAACTTAGGAAACAAGTCAGAACACATGGCCAAGCAAGGTAGTCACAGAAAAGAGATGCTACTAAACTTTGCTAAAAAACAAATTCACCTTCATGACTGAAGTGTGTGATGTATGCTGTAAACATTGTAATTCAATAAAATAAACAAATTTCCTTTTAGAGGAGGAAAGTCAAATTACACATTTGTGTACAAAAATCCCAAAATAGGGCTAATTATTATTAATTTTTTTGGTAAAGAATCATGTGTAACAAGTAGAACAGGTTTTATAGAAGGTTAATTAGAGCCTAGGATTATAGACTAAGTTGGGGAAAAAAAACTTAATATACTTGTACTTTAATGTCATTAATACACAAAAGGTCTATTGACAACTTAATGGTCTCAAAAAGCCTTGAACAACCAAAACATACCATCAGATGTTTTCCTTCTTCAACATTAAAATAAGGTAAAAATAAGTAAATAAATAAAAGTATGACTGGACATCAATAGGAAAGTCAGTCTAGAAAAATCTAAGTTTACATTACATACATTATAAAAAACAGACACTCATGACTTGGAGAAGAAAATTCAAACTTGGGGGCTTTGAAGGGTCTGAAGAACTGTTTATTACTACATATTGAAACACACTCCCGCTTAAAGGGTTTGCTCTTTGATGGTACTCAGGTCAGATCAATACTAAAAGCAAGTGAGGAGGCAAACTCAGTGAGAGTTTAAATCAAAGGTCACGTCTGGTGGGGGAAGGTGGGGGCGAAAGAGGGGATGGGACCACTCATTTATCCCACTCATAGCAGCAACTAAACTGGTTTTCAGAAACTTTTACTTGACACTCCCACCGATTTTGAGACGTAGCTGTACTATTTTTACTTGTTTGACCTCAAGACACATCATAACCTATTGCAACCATGTAACAAAGTCAAAATTTTAAAGTTATGCAAATTTCACACACACACACACACACACACACACACACACACACACACATCAGTGAAAAGAGGCTAAGCCCTAGCTGGCTTGGCTCGGTGGATAGAGCGTCAGCCTGCAGACTGAGGGGCCCCAGGTTCGATTCCGGTCAAGGTCACATGCCTGGGTTTCGGGCTCCATCCGCAGTGGGGGGTGTGCAGGAGGCAGCCAATCAATGGTTCTCTCTCAGCACTGATGTTTCTATCTCTCTCTCCCTTCCTTTCTGAAATAAATAAAAATATATTTTTTTAAAAAGAGGCTAATGTCTACCGTTGAGAAGAACACTAAGCACGTTGAGGCATCCGCTAGATTTCTACCATGACGAATGAGCACTGGCAGATGGAAGAATATTAAAACTGTCTGAAACTGGATCTCTCCTGAGAAACGCAACAATAATACTGTTCTGGGCCAGAATATAGTGATGATGTTGATAGAGGCAGAAATTTTCCCCCCAAAATTAGCTGAGAAACAATGTATAAAGAGCATTGACAAAACCATCTCAGCGGTGGATTTAAGTCATGACCGGAGATGTATCACCAGGGATTCCGACAGGCTGGCGGCTCCCTCCCCGGGGTGTGTAATGCATGGATGGGGTCTACCCGAACACAAGCCACAACAGCAGAAAGGGCGGGGGTAGTGCATTATTGCTCAACGCTAGTTGCTGCTGTTAGTTCGAATTCCCCATCAGGACGTCTGAAGAAGTAGTCCAGGCCCCTGCACAGGAATGCTGTGAGAGCAGGGACAGACCGGGCCTTGCTCAAGGTCTACCTGAAAAGGAGGCAGGAGGTGGCACGGAGGAGGGAAGGTAGACAGGGAAGGACGGTGAGTGTGTGTGTGTGTGTGTGTGGCGGGGGGGGCAGGGGGGAATACAAGGGAGTGGGGACAGAGGCAAGAAGAGGGAGACTCCAGGCCATCAGCATCCTAAACTGAGGATAGAAAGAACAAGAACTGCATTCAAATACACACAAAAGATCACCCCCACTCAAATGTCTTTATTTACAGTTTAAACTGTGTTGCAGTAATACTAAAGGCACATTTGAAAAGTCATCATATTCTCAGCATTCTAACAAAGGCGTGTTCAGTTCTCCAATTCTCTTGCTGCATTTTTAATTTAGTTTCCATCCTCACTGAGCCTTCCCAATGCCAGACACGGGTGCAAAGATAACAAGACAGGCTCTATTGCCAGAAGGGCTCAAAGACATTCTCTTTCTAAGGTGACTCCCAGTCACTTCAATTATATATTCTTTTCTTTAAAAGATTTTCCTAAGCAAGTAATATCATTTGTTAACTGTATAAAACAACAACAACAAATGTGTAAAACAAATGATAAGAAATTTTCTAAAGCACCAAAAATCCAAATGTGCTTTTGGTTCAAAGTAGAGGGAAAAGAATGTCAAAATTTTTGTGTAAGCCTTGTTTAATTTAGATATAATAGAACCAAGTGTTATTAAATTTCAGCTTTATAGTTTTGGAACAGCCATATAGCATGGGTGATAGTACTTCGGTATACTTCTCAGTTAAGAATGATGAAAGAAAGGCATTATCTAATGAGAGAGACCAAAATAATTACACATATATATTGTGATCATGTAGGCTAACAGATTCTAGTGCTAATTATCCTTAAGTTAGCTTTAAAATTTCATAAAAAGCCAAGAAAAAATTGCCCTTTTATTTAAAAAGTGGACACCGACAAGAATAAAAGAACTATATAGGACTACATACTCTTCTATTCACTCCAACAGTCAATCATACGAACACTTTTATGAATTAGCCCGGCCAGTGTGGTTCAGCAGTTGAGTGTCAACACAGGAGCGAAGAGGTCCTTGGTTCAATTCCCAGTCACGGCATGTGCCTGGGTTGTGGATCCCCAGTGGGGGCTGTGCAGGAGGCATCTGATCAATGATGTGCCTCTCTCATTGATGTTTCCATTTCCCTATCCCTTTCCCTTCCTCTCTCTCTCAAAGTCAATAAAAACATATTTAAAAAAACTTTTATGAACTAATTTTGTGACCAAAGTGTAGAAATGATTTAATAAACCAATGATGAGATTTTTAAATAACATAAGCTGTCAATAAATAGTACTATCTGGTGGACAAGCTAAACTTGTAGCCATTCTTGGCAAAGCCTGTTTGACATTAGCCAACATGCAGGGTCACAGTCTGAACACACTTGCTGATAATGCTATTGTCATTTTACCATTATCACCGAGGGCTACCACTTGTTGGGTACACTGTGTGCCTGGCACAGTGTATTTTATATACGCCATCTCATTTACTGTATACAGTAACCAGGAGAAGTCAATATTATTATCTCCATCTGTAAACAATGATAGTAACAAAAGCTACTAACGTGTATTAAACATTTCCATAGGGCCAGTCTATGTAGCAACTCACTCATTTAATGCCCACAGGAGTCCTATGCTCTGGGTACTGTTATTATCCTGATTGGCAGGTGAAGAGAGTGGGACATACAGAGTAAACAGCTATCCAAGGTCCCTTATGTCATATGTGACAGAGTCCTGACGCTGACCCCAGATCCTAATGCCAAAGCCACATTACCCACCAACCCCAAAGAATCCGTCTCTCCACCCTTGGTCCTACCCATGAGAAGAGCTACGGTAACAGACAGGAAAGGGGCCAGGTCTGGTTTGACCGGAGCTGCACCCCACAATCCACAATACAACTCATAAACATAGGCGGGACCCTCCCCGCAATTTCTCTGAAGAACCTCAGAATACGGGAACTGATGTCCTGCTTCAGAGCTGGCCCAGCTCAATTGCCCAGGAGCACATGACCCAAAGGCCAGGGTCTCTAACTGACCAGAGCACAAGGCATCTCAGAAGAAAGAGCCTCGGTCTGGTTAGATGCCCCATGTCCATTCAAAGGTTATCAGCTGCTTAGTTAAGCTGACCCACTATGTGCCTGACCACACTAGGCTCTCAGTTCTGAGCTAAACAAGCCAGGGCCCACCTCAGCAGCTGAAAATTCAAAGAAACAAACACCTGGGTACATGGTGGAATAAGGGCTATTGGAATCATGGCACATGGTTTTTGGATAGAGTGGGGAGTACCAAGGGGGGTCAACTCTGAGGGTGTGTGAAGAGGTTAACAAAGGCTAAAGGAAAAGGCAGTAGGGAGGCCAGAACTATGGTAAGAAGCTGTCCCGTTAGGACAGCGGTTCTCATCCTGTGGGTTGCGACCCCTTTGGGGGTCGAACGACCCTTTCACAGGGGTCGCCTAAGACCATCGGAAAACACATATTGAATATATAATTACATATTGTTTTTGTGATTAATCACTATGCTTTAATTATGTTCAATTTGTAACAATGAAAATACATCCTGCATATCAGATATTTACATTACGATTCATAACAGTAGCAAAATTACAGTTATGAAGTAGCAACAAAAATAATTTTATAGTTGGGGGTCACTACAACATGAGGAACTGTATTAAAGGGTCGCGGCATTAGGAAGGTTGAGAACCACTGCGTTAGGAAGAAGACAACTGAGCAAGCTATCCACTGACTCACAGTTGTCAACTTAAGGACAGACAGAGACATTACAAAACTATGAAACTGATGTCTCAAGAGCCATCTGGAGTGGATGTACTACACAAGAGGTTCCGCCAAGGGAGACATTCCCCACTCCCACAAAGCACCAGGGTAAAGGTGCTGGCAGACTGGGCAGCACCAGGGTCCAGTTCTCTACGGAATACTGGAAAGATGAATGCACTGTTCATGCAACAGCAGGGAAGCAGCAGCTCAACTACAAAGTGACTACAAAACACCAGCAACATGAACCAGGCACATGAGAATGCCAGTGTTGCCCAACTCACAGAAATTGCCATTTCAGTTAGCAATGGCCAAGAAGAACAAGAAAGAAATAAGGTGCACTATTTAGCAGGAATTACAAAATTGCCTTTACCCCAGATATTTTTGCCCATTGAGTTAAGGCACTTATTACAGACTGAACGCCTTTATTGACAACATTAGCATATGCATAGAGAGGAAAATAATTAATATGTGCAGTCCAATTTAATCAGTTTTACCTCAGGGGAGTGGCTTTAATGTCCATAGTCACATGCTATGGTACAGGTTGGTACCATGTCATTGTTTTGCAACATATGTATTATGTCAGTGATTGGAAAAAAATACCAGGTCTCACGCCACATGAGAATATTGACAATTTCACAGGCCAGCAGACAGTAGACTGCTCCTGCTTTACTCATCCCCATGAGTGATCCCAATTCTAACGGTCCAAACTAGGGAGGTCAAATATCCACAGAATTCGAAGAAAAAGCCACTGCCAGCAGACACCCAGGCAACCTCAGAGAGGGTCAGGAGAAGTGCATGCGTCTCGGGGCCAAGAGGACAGTGGAACAGTGACCAGCTCGGGACAGACTCCACAAATGGCTGCGGATGAATACATAGAAGGAAGGAAGAGAGGGGAGGGAGGGGGAGGAGAGAAAAGTATTGGTAAGCTGACAGAGAGGAGGGAGGAGAATGGAGACAGGAGAAGGGCACGAGGGAGGGAAGAGAAGGGAAATAAGAAATGGTGGGGGAAGTGGGAGAGGGTGACCTAGATTCTGCTCAACAAATAAAAGGTTGTGTCTATGATTATCAGAGTTATATGAATTTAACAATATATTTTGAACATGTGATTACCATTTATTTTCCTCTCAGAGAGTGTTGGCCTCAGAGAGTGTTGCTAACTTCCAATTCAAGACTGGAAACGAACAGGATAGGTGCTCTAGGTGTCCAATTGGGGATTCCTAAAAGAATATGGAACACAAGTTACCTTGGAGAATAAAAGTGATTAGTGTTTAAAGTGTCATTAAAAAGAAACTGATCTGCCCCAGGCAGGTGGCTCAGTTGGTTGGAGCGTTGTCCCCGTGCCCCAAAAGGTTGCAGTTCAATTCCCAGTCAGGGCATATACCTAGGTTACGGGTTTGAATCTCGGTCGCAGTGCTCACCAGAGGTAATCGATCGATGTTTCTCTCTCTCTCCCTTCCTTTCTCTCTAAAATAATCAATAAGAATATATCCTTTGGTAAGGATTTTAAAAAAAGGAAACTTATTGTCACTGAATAACAAAGAGTATATTTCCTCATATACCTGGGAAAAGATTGTGGGAAAAGATTGGGTTCAAATCTTCTTTCTAACACACAGCTGCTCTGGCAAACTCTACATTGATTCTAGAAAAAAACAAAAATCAACTATAGGATAGGCTGTGTTTGGTTTGGAAAACAAACCAAAGGAGTCCGCGCCCCCCCCCACCCCCTACGGGGCTTCCCACCATGCCCGACACAACATCCCACACACAACTTGTCACAAAATCCTGCAGGAAATGATCCAGCCTTCTCACAAACAACTGCAAACTGGGAAGGAAAACAGATATCTTATATTTCAGAAACTTTGTTGATGTTTGCAAGGGAGTAAAATATTACAAAGCAGCATTTTATCTTGTCCTCCAAACACAGTTCCAGTCCTCATGCTGCACCACATTTTTGAGTAGAGAGTACTCCATTGTTAGGAAAGGAACAAGTAACATGGACTGGGCACGTACTCAGACCCAGAAATAACATGACTCCGTTTTACAAAGGGGGAAAGTCATGTCCCTAAGGCCTTCTGACACCTAAATGTTTTTGTTTTTTTTCTTTCTCATTTGTATTGGGATATACTTCAATGAATCATGAAAGTGACTCTTATCGGTACATCTGGCCACTCAAATGAAAATAGCATGGTGGAAAACGGAACCGTCTTCTCCACTAGCATCTGCTTCCGGTACGCCATCAGTCCAACATCTACATCTTTGTCTACAGAAAAGTGGTAGCTCACAGGCAGGGAACAAAAATGCTCTGAGTATAATAGTTGTTGTTTTTTGTTTGTTTTTTATTGAGATTTACTCTATTTTGCATGATTATGGAAGTAATCCATAGTAAAACATTTTAAGGAGGCACTTGGGACTTCAACAGATGACACCAGCTTCCCAACCTCCTCTTCTTTCTGGAGTGATGTGTAATGAACGATTTGCCAGATGTTTATTAGTAAGCCTGCAAACCTTGGCCTAGATTTTGTTTAGCTTCAAAAATAAATAAATAAATAAATAAATAAATAAATAAATAAACAAACAAACAAACAAACAAATGCCTGGAAATGTCTGTTGAAATAAAAACTAAAATGGATATTTCCCCCTCTAAAATTAAAACTTTTCAAAACAATCTATTTTTCTCTGTCCTATTACCTAGCAATGTTCAACAAGAACAAAAAGTAAAATTAGTACTGGATTAAAAAAGAATATAGACTCCAAGTTTATGGCTCTTTTTGATTGCTTACTACCTACAATTTAAGATTTTATTTTCTTTGTCTGCTGAAATCTATGGGATCCCAGGAATTAAAAAGAATAAAATTGTAGCCGAAACCGGTTTGGCTCAGTGGATAGAGCGTCGGCCTGTGGACTGAAGGGTCCCAGGTTTGATTCCGGTCGGGGGCATGTGCCTGGGTTGCGGGCGTATCCCCAGTGGGAGATGTGCAGGAGGCAGCTGATCGATGTTTCTCTCTCATCGATGTTTCTAACTCTCTATCTCTCTCCCTTCCTCTCTGTAAAAATCAATAAAATATATTTTTTAAAAAAAGAATAAAATTGTATACATTTAATAGAATGTTAGAGAAATTTTAACCGAAATATCTTTGGGCCCAACTTAAATTGATTGTGAACCATAATAACAAAGTAAAGACATTTTATATTTTACTACTTTGCAACCAATATTGTTTGTTTTGTCCTAATATTGTATCAAAAATTCCTTTTCAAATTTATTATTATTTTTGCCTTTTCCTTCTCACATTTTTGAAGAGAGAAAATAACAGCTGAACTCCTACTCTAATGATTCAGAGAGAGAAGACTCACACAAGTATGACTGGGATGGGGAAAAATACCACCTGTGAAGACCTTCAAAGTTGCCATATGACATCAAAACCATCCTAATAAAAACAACTGTGAAGCTAAGGGACTGCACAGCCATCTGCTCCTATCACCTTAATTCACAGTGGAGGAAATGAAAGATCAGAGTAGTCAAGTGACCTCTCCAAAGTCACACAGCAAAAGTGGTCCTTAGATCTCAGATTTCCTAGGTGCCTATCCAGTGCTCCATTAGATCATAACAAATTTTTTATTTCCATAAATAACTTAAGACGTATAATTTAATCTATTTGTCTATACAGCTATTATTCTACACAGCATGAACGTAAGTCAATTTAACTTTATGTTAATCAAAACACTACTAATGTCCAAGAACATACTCTGCCTTTCATTCCACTGGTGAAGCCAGATTAAACAATGAATGAAAAATCTGAAATGAAATTTGAAATACTCTTAGGCGGTCTAACCTAGGCACATCTATTCTCAAAATAGAATTTCCCTTTCTTATTCACAGTTAAATCATAATCATAGTTTTGTTACAATACAATTTCAAGTAGATTTCATAGATAGCTATCAAGTAAAATGTAGATATTCTATAGTCAAAGCTTAAGTAAGCAGTTTTTAGTAAGAATTTCAAGATAATATACTATTAGATCCATCAGTTCAGACAGAACTCTTACCCTCTACAACTCTGGAATCATTCAAGAGCACTTTAGTTGCCTAGGTTAGCAGCTTATTATCAATAGTCATTTGTTTATTCCACAGTTCTTTACACTGTACAGTGCTAGTTGCAAGGGAACCAATAAATGTGGGACCACTTGCCTGACTACTGTAGATTGATGACGTAAGATAATTAAGGAGGCTTTTAACTGAATCAAGGTTTGCAAGCAATCAATGTACATGTTCAAATGTGTGTTAGAAGGGTAGTGAGTTCACATGTGGTTTTCCCAGAGAATAAAAGTTGACAGACTTAGTAAAGAGTATATGTTGTGAAGCAGGGTAAGGTAAATTAAAATAGGCCAACAGATGACAAAAGAACCCTTCTATGCCTGCCCCAAAGAACAAAAATATCATTGAAAGATATTCCTTTCTTGAGAATATGTCAGCAACAAAATACCTTCTTTATATTTCTTCATATAAACGGAGTAATGGTATTAAAATTCAGTGCCAAACAACCCCATTTGGGGGGAGGGAGGGAGACAAGCTTTAAACACACTTTCAACAAAGAAAATGAATAAATGGCAAGTAAGCACAAGAAGAGAGCTTCAACATAATTAGTCAGTAGGGAAATGCAAAATAATAGCTTGATGAGACATCATGATATACTCACTAGAATGGCTACATTTAAAAAGGCAAACATACCAAGCGTTTACAAGGATATGGAGCAACTGGGATTATTATACAACACTGGTGGAAAAGTCAAAATGTTACAGGTACTATGACAAATAATTTGGCAGTTCCTTATCAGATTAAACACCTACCATGTGACCAGCAATTCCACTCCTAGGTATTTACCCTCCATGATACATTCAATGTTGGACTACAGGACTCTTAGTATCACTTAAGCTGTTTGAAGATACACATGGTCCTTATGCTCACCGAGCACATGGGCACAGCTTCCCAACACTGTTTTTGGTTTTCAAGAGATGAATCCGTTTAGCAATGCTGAGGTCTGGGGTTGTTGTGCAAGGTGAGAAGTATAACTGGAGTTCCCTTCAAGTGCTTTCCAGAGCAGGTGGCAATGATTTCAGGACAAAGAATCTCTACTTCATCTTTCTCTTTAAAATGCTATTCAACTCATTAATAAGCCAGTGTACCCACATCAACACTGGTATTTCTGCTATCCTACAAAACTTAAACATAAAGGTAATTAAATGTAATACAATCTACTGGGCACTTTAAAAAACAACAACAGGTAAATATAGGCTTTATGAAGACATCATGTTATTGCATTTTATTATTGTGGTAAAATACATATAACATAAAATGGACCATTTTAGCCATTTTTAAGTGCACAGTTCAGTGGCATTAAGCGCTTTCACACTGTTGTCCAACCATCATCACCAGACACATCCAGAACTCTTTTCACCTTGCAAAACTGAAATTCTGGACCCATAAACATACCTCCCTATTCCCTTCTCCCTTCAGCCCTTAGCAACCAACATTCTACTTTCTGTCTCTGTGAATTTGACTACTTTAAGTGCATCATTTGAAGGGGATCATACAGTATTTGTCCTTCTGTGGCTGGCTCGTTTCACCCAGCATTATGTCCTCAGGGTTCATCCATGTGTAGCATGTGTCTTACTTCTCATGTCACAGGAAAGCCTAAGCCTTCAGAATGAAATGTAGAGCCAGGGGCGTCTCCCCACTGAGGCCTGCTGAATAGACAGACAGGCTGAATGTAAATCACTGTGTTTATGAAAGCAGGATCCAGAGGGACCAGCATCAACAGCACCACAGAGCACTGCTCAGGGCTCCCTCCTTTCTGAGGAGCACCCCGGAAACCTCCAACGCTGCCCCCAGCAAGTAAGCAAGTGGAGTCTGTGCGCCAGGCCCCCCTACCCCTCCCCCATGTCTGTAAGATAAGATAGGATAAGGTTTTACTGAGAACTGAACTTTTCAGAGTTAATGTTTGCTGTATGCTATCTTTAGGGCTTCGGGGAAATTAATGTCAATATAAATGACTGGCCAGGAATGATTTACACTATGAGTAAACATCAAATTAATGGTTCCATTACATGTAAGGCAATTTTGCTATCTTAATAGTGATACTAACTTGAATGATTAAAAGAACACAACTTACTCCATAGAATATAATATTTATTATGTAATCTTTTACACCAATTTTTGGCTG